TGTCCAAATTTTTGGCGGGAAGCGATTTCACAAACCAGGCAAGGTACAAAGCTGAAACTTTGCTTTGTGTATGTGCGAGCTAAAGATTTCAAATTCAGCTGCCGCACACGCTTGTGCAGCGCGTACGACCACGTCAAAGTTTGCGAATTAGTACTATGCTAACTGGAAAACATGCCGGAAAACAGTTGCTGAAATTTTGTCAGTATGTTTGTCCCCACACAGGAAATAGTACACTTAAAATGAGTACCTATTTGTACTTGCGCCACAACTTATGGCATTTCAAAGATATTTAATAGCGAATTGGATATTTCGCTTGTCGGATAAGGTACGAAGCTGAAAATTCGACCGGATATTCTACTTTCAAGTGCGGTCTTGATTCTGCTTGGAGGTGGGATTCTCTCCAGGTAGGCGTGAGAAATACTCAACTTTACCGAAAAATCAGAAATGAGTGCGTTTTGCAGCGAACGACCGCCCTCATCCAAATATGTAAATGAATATTAGTTCATTTACACAATTGGGTTTTTTCACAAACGACTGCTCGAGCAATACTTCTACTTTTTAGTGAACTAGAAATTTGCATTTTTTCGAAAAATTTGCATAATTTTTTCAAGAAGCTAACATTTACGGAAAAAACGACCGAGCTTCATGTAAAAAACTGGTAATCATATACCTCGTAGTCCATACGGTGCTATAATGCAATACCTTCATCCCAACCGACGTCCTTTCTCCCGTACGCCGAAAGAGGTCAAAGCATAGTGTACTACAAATACAGTAATAGCATGTCACAGGCTGTTTCTGCTGTGCCAGATGCACGTAACAGTCGTAGGCACTAGAAGTGGGAGAAAACCTAGAAAAGCTGAAATTCTAAGAGAACTTATGGCCATCGCTGTCACACTACAACCACAGCAAAGAGCCGTCCGAACATTGCGATACTCAATGTCCACGAGAGACTTCCCATGAAATCCACCGTTTCGCCCACCGCTGGCCAACCAAACATTCCGACACCAATACACACGTCCACACCGAAACCTCTGACCAACTCCGAACAACAAACCACAAAACGTGATCGAAACACGCATCCGACCGGTAACATGCCCAGTTCGTCCAACCTAACAGCCGGTGAAACCCGGCTCGGCCGGCCAACACACACCAAGATTTTTGGCAATTACAGTAACTTGGCTCGGCTCGGCTCGTTTCATACACAAGCCATAAAAAATTTTTTCTGCCGACGGTAGGTAGGGCTGCCCACGGCGAATGGCGGCTGCCTG